GATTATAGGAATGGGCCACCTCTCAGTATTCAAAGAGCTCTGAAGCTGGGGGTTGGGGGGTGTATTTCAACTAGCTCTACCAACCAGGATGACAGCTCAGACCCATCCGCACCCGAGTGTTGGGATCAAAGGCAAGCGCTGTCGCCACCTGGCTGTTTACAACTTTTAAATGTAGGTGTTCGTTCTCATTCAAAAAACAAACAAAAGCGGATGTGGTGAAGCTGTGGTGAAAGGGAAACTTAATTTTTTAAGACAGAGTTTCTCTGTATAGCCCTGGCTGGCCTAAAACTCAAGTCTGTACCAGGCTGACCTAGAACTCAAAGATCTGCCTGCCTCTTCCTCCTAAATGCTGGGATTAAAGGTGCGCGCCACCAGCACCCAACATTGCATTCTTTATACAAGAAACAGACACGGCCTGGAGGGGATGGTTCAGTGGTTAAGAGTACCTGCTGTTCTCCTAGAGAGAGGACCCACGTTCAGCTCCCAGCACCCACATCAGGTGGTTTATGACCATTTGTTACTCCAGCTCCAGGAGACGCGCCGCTCCTGGCACGGGGACCTGCACTTGTGCGCATACCCACAGGCACACACATGCATAGCTACATATAATTAAAAATCATAAAAATAAATCTTTTTAAGAAAAGAAACAAAAGAGCCAATTCAAGGTGGTTTCAAGCACTAGTCAGTTTCAAAGCGACCGCAGGCTAGGCTGTGAGGTGTTTTTCTTACTTTGCGTGTATTGGTTTAGTGAACATGTATGTATGTTGTATGTCTGTGTACCACATTTGTGCCCATGGAGGTCAGAAGAGGGCATCAGCTCCCCTGGAATTGGAGTTTCGGGTAGTTAGCCACCACATGGGTACTTGAAACAGAATCCCAGGTTCTCCGGAAGAGCAGCCAGTGCTCTTAACAGCTGAGCCGTCTCTCCATCCCTTAAATAACAAGCTCGCTTTGGTTTGGAGTGGAGCTGCCAGGTTCTGGAACCTCACACATAAAGCAGCACTAAGTTTCACCCTGACTTTAGTCCTTCAAAACCACTTCTGTAAACTGCCTAATTAAGACATATTTGCACGTCTACTTAATGAAACCCTTCCTAGGCTGGGCCCTGGTGGTGGCAGTCCTGTATCTCAGCTGCTCAAGAGGAAAAAACAAGAGTATCTCAAGTTCAAGTCCTGGCTGGGCTGCAGAGCTAGGTTCAGGCAGCCTGTCTCTGCCTCCAGAGTGCTGGGATTAAGTGTGGTGACTTGATTTAGATTGATTGCTGCACTACAATGCCCCACCCCCCAGGACCACTTGCCTCAGATACTGTGATGCTACACCTGAACCTAGATTTTCTTCTGCAGGGCAACATGGTCCTAGTGAATAAACCCAGCATGGTCTTGCTTATAAGCTTGCTTGTTGCCAATGCGTTTGGTTGGCTAGTATGTGCTTTAATGGGTTTTTGTGTGTCAGGCTGGGCCAAGCGCCTGCTTAGCGCGCACAAGGCCTCGCTGCTGCTCTCCAGCTCCAGAACTCCACCCGCAGGGAACTGCATCAATTTTTTTATGAGACTGAAGAAACGCGTGGTCTTTTTGTCTTGTTGTCTTTTAAACCTCATCATCCTTCACGTTGTCTAGCCCCTACGCTTACTGAAATAGTTCCCTTTTGCTCTTCTCTACAATTCTGGGGTTTGGATATAACTCAGAAAACTCTGACGTCAGAGTTGGTAGCACTGGCCTGTATTCCCCGCATTGAGAGGCAGGCGGGGGAGTGATGCATACAAGTTTGGTTCTAGCAAGTTCTAAACCAAAATAAAGCAAAGCAAAACAAATTTGCTTCAGATTTCCAGATTAAATATGAAACATTGTCCTCTGCTTTGTTACTGTTGAACTGTTTTGATACAAGGTCTCACTGTATCCCCCTGGAGGGCTGGAAATTTCTGTGTAGACCAGGCTAGTCAGCTAAACAGATCCTCTGCTTCACTTTACATGTTATGTTTTAATTTTATTTTATTTATTAACTTAGTTTCTTACTTTTTTTTTTTTTTTTTTACTTCCAAGACAGGGGTTCCCTGTATAGTCCTAGTTTTGCAGAAACTGCACACCAGCTGTCCTTGAACTCACAGATTCACCTACTTCTGCCCCCCCCCCCCCAGTGCTGGGATTTAAGGCGAGTGCCAGTGCCACCACCGCCCAGCTGTTTTAACTACATTTTGTGTGTTCTCCGTGAACATTGTGTTGAGAAACTCTTCTGGAAGTCAGGACATTCTCCCAGCGTACGGATCCTGGGTGTACTTAGGTTGACTCTTCTATGGTTCTCATTTCCCTTGTGTATGTGTGTTTGTTTGGTGTTTCGTTTTTTTTGAGATAGTAACTCTGTAACCCAGGCTGGTCTACTAATGCTGGGATCACTGTCCTGAGCCTCCGTGGTTGATCTAAAGGGAATGAGGGGCGAGAGTGGTGTGTACAGAACCCAGGGCCTTGGCAAGGTCGGCAAGCCCCCTTGACTAAAACCCCGTCTGCCTTTGTATCTTTATATACAGCGTAGAAAGCGACTTTGGCTCAAACACTCCTTTGTTTTGCTCTTGGATTGTGTTAAGAACACAGAAGCATGGAGAACTGCAAAGAATCTTAATGCTTTAAAACTTTTTCTCAAGAACTAGGGATCCAGCTCAGCGGTGGCATCCTCACCCACCTTGCAAAAGGCCCTGAGTTTAAGCAAAAATAAAAATCCAAACATTTAGTCTTGTGGTGGTAGCAGACACCTTTAATCCCAACCTTGGGGGCAGAGGCTGGGAAATCTCTTGAGTTCAAGGCCCGTCTGGTCTATAGAGCAAGTTCCAGGACAGCCAGGGCTAAACAGAGAAATGCCATCTTAAGAAAAAAAAAAGGAAGTCCAGACATTTTTATATGCTGGGCATGGTGCCCGTCTCTGGGAGCTAGAGGCGGCAGGTAACAAGAGGTTAAAAGGCCAGCCTCAACTATGTAGCAAGTTTCAGGCTAGCGAGGGCTAAATGAAACCATGTCTCAAAAAAGGGTTTGTTGTTGCTGCTCTCACAAAGTAAGGTGGCACGGCCTGTGGTCCCGGCACTCCAGGGGCAGGAGGAGGAGACCCTCGCCCACCCCCAGCCCATGTTTTCATTGTTCATGTTTAGTTTCATGGTAGGAATCACCTGTAGGTAAGGAAGAACTGTTTCCTTTTGGCCCTGCGTGTTTCCCACAATTCTGTGCGGCCAGCTTGGCAAATGGCCCAATGTGCTGGTGGTAGGGGCGCCTTTAGGAGGCGAGGGCGACTTGAGGTAAAGCGAGAGAGCTGCTGCGATCCCAGTGTCTTCCTCCCTGTGACTGTGATGAGCAGACACCACTTCCACAAGCTCCTACCACGAGACATGCTGCTCACAAAGGCCCAGGGTGGTCGAGCAGCCGTGAACTAAAACCATGGAACCCAAAGGAGCCTCTTTTTCCTTTAAGATGTTTGTCTTAAGCATTTCGTGACAGTAACAGAAACTTAAGAAGTCAAGTCAAAAGACCAGCTCAGCTCCCTCCTCTCTTTCCCATCCCGGCTCATCTACACGCTCAGAAACAATACAGTTTTGCTGCTCAAGATGTTTGGTTTCCATGGAATTGTGGGTCCTCCCAGTATCTGTGACCTGATGTCTGGTTTCTGATTCTGCTCCTTGAGCCGTTAGTCCTCAGAAATTCCATGATTCTTCAGGCAGTGTGAGTATGGTTTGCTGTGATGAGCCCACACATAGGTGGCGCATGCCTATGGTAACACATTTACCTACCAGGTCAGTCTGGATTCCATCCCAGCAGCTGTCCTCTGAGTGAGTGTCTCATGGTTATTGAGGGTTATTACACGGTCATCATACAAAGGTTACACAATAAATTCCTAACTATGATCCCAAGCCTGTCTCCCCAAGGCAGTTCACCTCTGTATCTTTTGATGTGAGGGGCAGAATCCAGATGTGCAGGGCAGAGCATTGCTCATGGTCTCTGCTTATGTCCAGTAGGTGTCATAGGGTTCTAGGTCTGTGTCTGGTGTCTTGAGTGAGTGATGTCACTGGGTTCTGGCTATGAGGTGCAGCCTTGGCTGTAGTGGGATCCTAACTAAGCTATAAAGGGCATTTTTTAAAATTATGCTCATTACAGTGGGAGTAGTCCACTCTCCCACTTCTGTCCCCACAGTCCGGGGGTCCTTAAGCACAGACTGGGCCTCTGGGAGGGAGGAAGAGAACTGGAGTTTACTTTGGCTCCCTTAGGGAGTTTCTAACATTGTGCATTCTGCAAAAATAATGTTCTTAGGTTGGCCTCAGCTGTTTGTGTTTTTTTGTTTTGTGTGTGATATGTAATGCCTTCCTTTTTATTTTTCAATTTAATGTTTTTGTTATATTTGGTTTATTGTGTGTGGTCAGAGAACAGTTTGTCAAATGACTTCTGTCTCTCCATGTGGGTCCAGGGATCAAACTTGGATTGGCAGGCGCCATTCATTCCCCTCTGCGCCATCTTTATAGTCTTTGAAAATCCATCTACTATGTAGACCAGGCTAGCCTTGAACTCATAGAGATCCACCAACCTTTCTTCCCAGGTGCTGGAATTAAATTCGTGCACTACCATGCCCGCCTTGCTGGTTCTCTTAAATCTCTTTTTTAGACCTATTTTGTGTGTATTGTACTCCCAAGCTACGTCCCCAGCCCTTGTTTGTTTTGAAGGGGTGGGGGGTCTCACTGTGCTGCCTACACTCATCACCAACCCCTGGGTCCCACTTTGGTCTCTTAATTAGATGGACTATAGGCATGAACTCTCATGTCCACCTCTAAGTGGGTTTTCGTCATTGTGCATAAATTGTGAGTTCTGACCTTTATTTCCCCTTGTGATCATATCCGTGTGTAAATCCCATTAGTAACCCTTTATGCTAAATATTTATTAAGTACACATAGCATAGTTTTCTTAGATGACTTTTTTTTTATTCTTTTAGGATTTTGAATTTTTGAAGCCCTCTCCAGTGTTAGCACATCCACGATGTCGGCTGTGCAATCGAAAGCGGCCAGGCTTCAAAAGGAGCACAAGGAAAAGTTCTTAGCAGACACGGAGAGGGAAATGGCCTCCTCCGGGGATTTAAAGTACAACCACGTATCGGCAGCCATGATGAAGAAGTTTAATGCTTTAATGGAAATGCAAGACATGATGTTCGTGGAGATGAGAGAAAGCCTTAAAAATGACCTAAAGGAAATGCTGGTAAAATATACGGCACCTGAGGTGAAGAGTTTGGAGGAGAGCGCGCAGCAGGAAGGAAACGAGTCCGCCTCAGAGAAAGTGGAGGGGAGTTCTGAAACAGATGAGGACGCCGAAAACCTCACGGTGAAAAGCGAGAAGAGCAAGCTGAGCAGGAAGCAGGACAAAAAACAACCCGACAGCAGCCACGATGTGAAACCGTCACCAGAGAGGATGGGAGAAGCCCGGCATCATGTAGATGAGGGGTGTAGAGAGAGCAGGGGCCATGTAGACCTTCTAGAAGGAGAGGACCTGGAGAATGGGGAGAAAGAAACAAGCCATGGGAACAAAGAGAGCCTCCTAAAAGCCTCCGGAGAGGGCGGTGCGCCGGAAGAGGGAGCCGTCCTTAGGCTGGCTGCCGACTTCTCAGCCGCCACGCTGGATGTTAACAAGCGGTGGGGCCGCATCTTCCGTCTTCTGAAGGAGACAGAGCTGGAACCCGAGCTGCAGTGCTCAGTTAAGCTAGCGTTTAAATGCGATGGCGAAGCAAAGACTTTCTCAGACCTTTCCAGCCTCCGACAGTTTGCCAGCAGAAAGCCTTTTCTGAAAGAATTACTGAAAGATGTGCTCCCACAAAATGAAGCAAGAAATGGAGGAAGAAATCAGCTTCAAGAAAGATTGGTGAGCTTACAAGGGTGTAGGATTCGAGTATAAATAAGAGTTGGGGTGATTCTTTAACAAGCATAATGTGACGTTTTTAATAGCACTTTAAGTTGGAAGCAAAAGTACTGTTGCAAGTTTGAGAGATGAGCAGGGGAATTAAAGTTGGTTTGATGGGAGTTCTAGAAATTAGCAGCAAAACGTTTGTGTTAAAATTTAAGGTTAAGGCAGGCAGTTGGTGGCACACGCTTTTAATCCCAGCACTTGGGCAGAGGCAGGTGGATCTCTGAGTTCAAGGCCAGCTTGGTCTGCAAGAACTAGTTCCAGGACAGCTAGGACTGTTAAATAGAGAAACCCTGTTTTGAGAAAACAAAAGAAAAAGAGAAAAAAATGGAGTTAAACACTAAGTAGCTTAAGTTTGTTTGTTTATTTTTGAGACAGGGTTTCGCTGTAGCTATGAGCTTGTCCTGGAACTATCTCAGGCTGGCCTCGGAACTCAGAGAGATCCACCTGCCTCTGTCTCCCAGGTGCTGGGGTTAAAGGTGTGTGCCACCACCTCTCAGCTAGTTGGGTTTTTTTTATGTGTATGATTTGCTTGGCATATGTGTATGTACACCGTGTATGTGTTTGCCTGAGGAAGCCAGAAGAGGTGCTAGGTCCTGGGGTTTTAGGTGGTCATGAGCTACCATGTCGATGCTGGGAACTGAACCCAGGTCCTATGCAGGAACAATTGCTCTTAGTCTCTGAGCCATCTCTCCAGCCCCTCATTGAGTTTGTTTGGTTGGTTAGTTTGCTTTTTGTTTTCGAGGTATTTCTCTGTTACAGTCCTGGCTGTCCTGGAACTCACTCTGTAGACCAGGCTGGCCTTGAACTCAGAGATCCCCTGCCTCTGCCTCATAAGTGCTGGGATTAAAGGCGTGCACCACCACCACCCAGCCTCCTGCTGAGATTTTTAGCACACCTAGAATTTGTACCACTTTGTGTAAGGTAGGACTCAGACCTCAGTGTTCAGTTTCTTCCAGTTGCTCGCTGTCTTATTTTTATTTGTTGTTTGTTTTGATCAAGGCTCTCATTTAGCCCACATTCTCCACTCCCGACTCTAGAACCTCCATCTCGAGTGCTGGGATTACAAACACACCACTATGCCCATCTTCTGGTCACTATTTGGGAATATAAGGCTGGCATAGAGCTCAGATGGTAGGGTACATACTTCGCACGCACAAAGACCTGGGTTCAGTTCCCCAAACCACATAAATCAGGCATGGTTTCCGTGAGTGGTAGGAGTGGCAGTGGAGGCATGAGGACTGCAATGAATGTGAGACCAGCCTGGACCGTTAGTTGTTGTGATGTTTTAACTCTTTGTGTTTTGTTTTTTTTTTTTTCGAGACAGGGTTTCTCTGTGGTTTTGGAGCCTGTCCTGGAACTAGCTCTTGTAGACCAGGCTGGACTCGAACTCACAGAGATCCTCCTACCTCTGTCTCCCAAATGCTGGGATTAAAGGCGTGCGCCACCACCGCCTGGCTTAACTCTTTGTTTTTTGAGGGGCCCACCAGCCAGCTCACAAATAAATCACACATAGAGGTTTATTATTACTTATAAATGCCCAGTTTTAGCTTGGCTTATTTCTAGCCGGTTTTCCTTAACTTAAATTACCCACATTACCCTTTGCTTCTGGGTCTTTTCCTTTTCTTACTTCTGTATATCTTACTTTTACTCCGTGGCTGGCCCTACGTCCTTTTCCCTTGGGTCTCTATTTGTTTCCCTGCTTCCGCCTTTCTCCTATTTATACCCTGCCTGCCAGCCCTGTCTATCCTTGCTTCAGCCTTGCTATTGGCCATTGAGCTCTTTATTAGGACCATCAGGTGTTTTAGACAGGCAAAGAATCACAACTTCACAGAGTTAACAAATGCAGCATAAACAGAAGTCACACACCTGAAAATAATATTCCCCTACAGTTCGTGACCCTACCTCAAACACACACACACACACACAAACAAAATAAAATCAAAAAGTTAAAATTGTGGGCTGACAGGATGGTTCAGTGTGTATTAGTACTTACCATACAAGCTTGATGACCTGAGTCTCGATACCTGGGACCCACATGGTAGGACAGAGAAATAACTCCTTCCTGCAAGCTACCTTTGGGAACCTCCGAATGAGTTTGATGGCACCACCTCCACACATACACACACCCACAAATACGTACAAATAAAAAAAATAGGTTAAATTGCTTTCGTGTTAGAGGGAAAGATACATCACCAGGTGAATCTGAGTTAGCAGGCCTTAATTCTAAAGGGTTCTGTGAAACACGAAGAACAATCATTAAAGGTGCTTAGTCAGTCCATATGCGACGCATTACGTACCAGGGATTCCGAAGGTCAGAGCAGGCATGATGATCTTGTGGAAACTTGTTCTGAATACTGCAGAAGAAGCCATTTGTTAGGGTCATAGGAAACTGAATCTATTTGGGGACCCATGTCTTTGAGAATAGGTAACTGGATGTCGGGGTCTACCACTGTTGGTGGGGTTCTCAAATCATACCATGCAGAAGGTACTGAGTTTGATCTTCACCACAGGAGAAAAGTATTTAAGTTATTTTACAGGTATTTGTTCATTGTCATGGCAAATATATTAAATTTAGAGGGTGAAATAGAAGTTTTCATTCATTGAAAGGCATGACTTAAATAACTTTTTTAAACTTCTAGGGTAAAACTCTAGGAGACACAAAGCGTGAAGCTGGGAGAATAGCAAGCGATAGCTTGAGCTTCCTCTTCATCAACGAGGTAAACGTTGCTAGCCCAAACATGAAGACTTCTGAAGAAGAAACATTGCAACAGAAGGATAAAGAAACCCTCGCGTTGGAGAGGCAGGAGGTCTCAAGGCTAGAGGAGGGAAAAGTCCTGGAGGTGGAGGGAGAAGAAGAAAGTTCAGAGGGAGAGGCCTCAGATACGGAGTATGAAGAGGGTTCAGAGTTGGGGGAGGAGGAGGAGGAGGAAGAGGACTCAGAGTTGGGGGAGGAAGAACAGACCTCAGGAGAGGAGGAAGAGAGAGAAGAGTACTCAGAGATAGCGAAGGAGGAAGAGGCCTCTGTGCTCCATGAAACACGAGGCTCAACCTTCCAGGGCCTTACTGTGGTAGAGGAGTGTGGAGTTGAGAAAATCACCAGGAGCGGCGAGGAGATTGGCTTAATTAGTTTGGTAGTAGATTCTGAATCAGAAAAAGAAGGAAATGTGAAGGAGACCTTCCATGGCCTGAGAGAACTTGCCTTTAGCTACTTGGTTTGGGACTCTAAGGAAAAAAAGCTGGTCAAGTGCCAGGAGGGAGGAGCAGCTGCCATGACTAGTCAGGGGATCGGGACACCCTGCCTAACCTTGTACTTGGCTTCTCTGTCAGAATCCCTAGAGGCAGGCAGTGACGGCGCTAAAAGCCGCTCATGTACAAGCTTGAGTGTTCCATCACAAGTCACTCCACTTTTAATGAACATGGAGAAAGGGAGATACAAGCCCCCGCAAATAGAAGAGCTAACAGCCAAAGAAGCAGACTTGATCCATGAAACTGAAGAAAACTTTAGAAGAAGTGTGATCGGTATTATCAGACAGATGCAAAGGGAGGTTGAAAATATTAAAAAGCTTTACTTTTTCGATGTCTTAAATATGAAAAGTTCAATGGATGACCTGAATTCCTTAGCCTGCGTGATGGAAGCAAGAGTGAGTGAACAAGAAGACGCAGTGGAAAGACTGACTAAGGAGACCATGCAACTGGCTAAGGAGATCGTGGACAAAGAGAGGCTGAGAGAGAGAGAGGACAGATTGCGAAGCTCCAACATCCGAGTGATAGGAATCCCAGAAAAAGAAAACCGAGAAAATGGAGCAGAGGACATAATTAAGGAAATAATAGAAGAAAACTTTGCCGACCTGGAAGACCAGAGTCTCGAGATCATCTGTGCTCACCGAATCCCTAATTCAGTGGATGAGCACAGACTCACACCTAGACACATCTTGGTGAAGTTTTGGAGTGCTGGTGACAAGCAGAAGATCCTAAAAGCTTCTAGAGCAAAAAAAGAAATAACCTACAGGGGAACAAAAATCAGACTGACAGCTGACTTATCACCCGGAACCATCGATGCAAGAAGCCAGTGGTCCGGGATCATCAAAGTTCTGCAGGAAGAAGGCTTTCAACCGAGAATCCTCTATCCGGCCAAGTTGGCGTTTGATTTTAAGGGTAAAACCAAGGTCTTTTTTGATATTGAAGAATTTAAGAAGTTTGTTTCTGATATACCCTTTTTGAAAGAACTGGTGAACAATATAATTTAGCAGTTTGGAATGTTTTCTGTCCACCAAAGTGCATCGGGAAACTAAGTAAAATTGGACACTGAACCATCACATCTCTGTCCAGAAGGACGGATGGCTGGATTTTTTTTTTTTCTTTCTTTCAGGGTAAGGAGGAAGCAATTCACTACCTGAATGTTGGTTGAGTTAGCATATATAACATTTTAAAATAGCTATCTACCCTGGTAAGGAGGCATCTTCCTGTGTAAACACACACGGGGTAGAGTCTAGAGGTCACAGTGGGGTGGGCAGGCTGACTGAATCAACTCTCTCTTTTGCCATTATGTGAATTTTTATATTAAAATTTGGAGTTCTAATATATTATTTGTTTATGTAATATTCCTACTAATATTTTCAAAAGTACCTTGCCGTTACTGTGTATTGTCTAAGAGCTTCTACACTTCATTGCTTCAAGCCGTCTTTTTTTTTTTTTTTTTTTTTTTTTTTTTTTTGGTTTTTCGAGACAGGGTTTCTCTGTGGTTTTTAGAGCCTGTCCTGGAACTAGCTCTGTAAACCAGGCTGGTCTCGAACTCACAGAGATCCGCCTGCCTCTGCCTCCCGAGTGCTGGGATTAAAGGCGTGCGCCACCACCGCCCGGCTTTTTTTAAATTTTTTTTTTTTTTTTTTTTTTTTTGGTTAAGCCGTCTTTTTTTTTTTTTTTGATGGAGTCTTTCTCTTAGAGGGTGCCAGTGTGTGTAGATAGTCCTTTGTTTGACATTAATCTGTCATCAATGGGGATGCACTGAAGAAATCAGAGGGGAGCGAAAGGGAATGCTTTGTTTTACAATGACCTCTAGTCTCAGTTACCCTTGAATCCGTCTGTAGGACTACTCTCCTGCCTCAGCCTGGTGAGTGTTGGAATTTTGTGTCTAATCCTGGGGCAAGTTCAGACAACTGATAGAGCCCTGCCTGCCATCCCTGTGCGGTTGGGAAGGCTACAGAAGATAGTGCCAGGCACCCCTGGTTTTATTTTTTTGCCACACGGGGGATAGGGCGAAGGGCCACTAGCTCGCTAGTTGTGCCCCCACCCTAATGTAAATGTCAGAGGGAAAATGGACACACTCGTCCTTCTGTTGTGTTGTCTTTTTCTCTTTAAACTGTTTTTATTTTACATGTATGGATGTTTAGTCTACACGTGTCTTTGTGCATCGAGTGCATGCCTGGTGCCCTTGGATGCCCTGGGACTGGGGTAGGTGCCGGAACTCGAACCCAGGTCCTTTGGAAGAACAGGGTATACTTAGGACCACTGAGCCATCTCTTCAGCCCTTGTGTTGTCTTTTGCTGTGCTGCTTTGTTTTGAGTGGCTGCCAAGAAATTACCTCCATGTCTACTTTTTGATGTACCACCATAACAGATTACCACAAACCTGATGGTTAATAACAGATTTAGGGACTGAGAGGATGGCCTAGTGGTTAAGGGAACTGGGTGCTCTTCCAGAGGACCTGGATTTATTCCTAGTACCTACATGGCTGTTCACAACCATCTGTTAACTCCAGTTCCAGGGGATCCAGGCTATCTTCTGGCTTCCAGGAGTACCAGGCACAAGTAGGGTGCATAGATAAAAATGCAGGCAAAGCATCCATACAATACATGTATTGATCTTAAAAATGAACTTGAGCCCAGAGATCAGAAACCAGCCTGGGTAGCATAGGGAGACACTTATACATAAAACAATAATATCAGGTCTTTAAGCTATAAAAATGGACTAAGTACATAGGCCTGTGGTCCCCAACCTTATGGGGACACACTGTTCAAAGCTAGTCTAGCCTACAGGTGATACCCCATCTCCCACAACAGTAAAAGGAAACAGGATATGTGCTCCAATGTGAGTCTTCGTTTTGTCCTTGAAGCAAAACCAATTGGACACAGGTTTGAAAAGATACTTATTTAGATTTAATTGTATCTGTGGGCTCCACCCTGGGCCCCAGGTTTTAGTTGGTGGTAGAGTACCTCTCTATATCATGCATATCTGGGTGCAATCCCAGCGCCAGAAAAATGAGTGTTCATGAGATTTCAGCCTTTGCCTAACCAATACGATCTGACTGAAAACAGGAAAGATGTCCAAACCTACCCCAGTGTCCTCCCTGGGGGTTCTGAGTTGCTTCTGGCAACATTGGGTTGGCTGCCCACTCTTTCTGTCCTTAGTGCCCCTTTTACCCACAAAAGTCTACACAGTGGAAGTGAAGTTGCTTGAAATCTTGCTGCTTGAATGGGGCTGTAGTCTTTCAAAGTTGTTAGCTTTGTAGATGAAGGGAGGGCTGCCTAAGCCAAGTCCTAGAAGCTAGAAGAATGGGTCGCACCTGGCTGCTTTGTTGGCCCAGGGTAGGCTGTTCGTGACAAACTCACTGTTAGCCTGTTCACACACACACACACACACACACACACACACACACACACACAAATTAATAAAAGCTACAAAGGTCTGGGCAGTATTCAGGTTAGTTTCTGGTTGAAAGTTCACCGACTAGGAAACCCAGTCTGGCCTTTCTGTGGGGACCATTCACATACGTTGAGTTGAGCCTCTGGAGACCTTTCATGCTGACATTTGGGGAAGTGATCCCCAGACCAGAGTGAATGCAGAGCCAAAGTCTAAGACTCAAGACCTGCAAACTCCAGTGTAGGAGATGAGGTTGAGCAGAGGTGGTCTCCAGGTGGTTGGTGATGATCACATAACTCTCACCAAGGAGGTGGGCTGGGGCCACAGAGTAGCCTTGGTGATTCCTGCTACTTTGACCATTGTCTTATGTGGATGGATGGAAACCTTTCAGCCCAGATTTCTCATGTGGTGCTTTCTTCTAAAGCCATTAGTTGGAAGGCAAGGCCATATTTTCCTGGTCTTGTTTGTTTTTAATCTGCGGTGTTACCCATCAAACCCAGCTTTACCAATGAGCTGCAAAGGCCAAATGTTTACTTCAACATGAAGGCTTCCAGACACAGAGAAGGTTTAAAATTGTTAGTTTTCAAGGTTTTGTTTGTATGAAACCCTTATTATCAACCTGCCACTGATATCAAGGAAATCCCAAGCATTAATACGGCAGTTAAGTCTAGGGCGAGGCAGTGTGTGAAGCCGACTCAAGGGTGAGAGAACTCCACCCCCAAGAATCTCTACAGGGGTTGGAAGGTAAAGTCTTCAAATCCCAGGCCAGAAACAAAACCACAAAATAAAAATCCAAAGTGGGTGTGGTGGAGGCAGAGGGATTAGGTCTTCCATTTGTGGTATGAATTGAAGACCAACCTGGGGCACACGAGCCCCCTCAGGAAAGAAAAAAACTAATGAAGCACTTGCAGACTAGGAAGTCAAGTGTTGCCCTCGGGTCTCCAGGAACCTCCCTGTAGAGTCAGGAGTCCTGTGACCTGCCAACTCTGCTTTGGTACCCATTTGTGGAGTCGGTTATCTTTCCACTTTCACATGGGTTCAGAGGCTCGAAATTCTACTGTCAGGCTTGCACAGCAAGCGCCATACCCCTGAGCCATATGATCAAGACCCAGGAAAGGCTTCTGATGAATGGCATTTGTTGTATCTGCCATCCTAAAGAGAATATATTTTTAAAAGTTGTAATTAGCCACAGATTCTAATAATAGGTGGTGTGTATTTACTAAGGAAAATACCTGTGAACAAAATGTTAAGGTATTTCTAAAACTTCACATGCAACATCGGACACTCCTAAAACCCTTTGTCAATGGCCTCTGCAACACACACAAACGAGAAAGGTGAGTGTGGGCTTCTCACAAGATAGAATCGAATTTACACACCTTAATAATAGTTTTATATATATATATATATATATATATATATATATATATATATATGATTTGAGTCTTTGGGAGTGAAGTTGCTCTCAATGGATCTTAAAAGATTAAAAAAATAGATGCCTTAAGGAAAGGTATTTAATGAGTGAGATTAGAAGCTGGTTTATGAGGTGTTTTGTACAAATTCACAGGCTCAAAATAAAAACCAGAGGTCAAATGAAGTCTTGAAGATGGATGCTGTAAAGTAATCCCACACTAGCTGAGAACTGAGTATACTAAAGGGTTATTTATTTAGGGGTAGACTCAGATCACAGTCCTCTGCGCAAAAGGGGAACAAGAACCGAATCCAGCAGCTGGGAGATAGAGCAGAGAGAGCCCTCGCAAGCTTCACGATACCAAGTGGGCTGGTATCTTAAAGGCTATTGGCTGAAGGATTTCACACAGCAAAGTCTCAAGGCATGTGTTTTTTATTATAAATTTGATTCATAATCTTGTTTTTGGAATTCTATAGGAAAGTACAAGTTCCCAGATGAGGAAGGCATTGCTAAATTCCAGTGTCTGCATTCTGACAGCATGGTTCAGTGCTAGTTATGTTCTTAT